TAGTCCTCTGCCCACAGTTTCCCTCCAGCCAGGAAGCTGGGGAGATCGTGGGGCTCACCTCACTTGTTAACTTTCTTTCAGGGAACACCGTCCTGGTTGCCTGTTGTCAGTATTTGAAAATAATCATTTTATATGTTCCATCCAGTTTTTGGTTGCTTTTATAACAATCGGGTGAATCTGGTCCCTGTTATTCCATAATGGCTGTAAGTGAAAAGTCCTGTTCCTTTAATTTTTGAGGAAAATTTAACAACAAAATTTTTTGGAACAATTTTATATTTACAAAAAGGTTGTAAAAATGGCACACAGAGTTCCAGTTTCTCCCAATGCTAACATCTAATTCCATGGTACATTTGTCACAGCTAAGAAACCAACATTGGCATATTACTATTAAGTAATGTCTATAGTTAGCTTTAATTTTTTAAAAAAAACCTGCCATACCATTTCCCAAAGTGGCTATAATATATCTTGTCTTCCTACCATCATCGAATGACAATTCCTATATTATATGAGTGGAAGAGCTTGATGAAAACCAGTTACATTGAAACACCAACATTTCAGCTACTCTGGACTTACAAAAATGAAGTAAGAAGAAAGGACTTGAAATTGCCAAGCTTATGATTACCAGTGACTCATGACGACAATAATAATTATAGCAACAATGAAAGCAGCATTCATTGGACTCTGTTCTGAGAGCTTTGCATTATTGATTCATTTGATCCTCGTGCTATCCCTATGTGATAGCTGGTGCCATTACCATCTGCTTCTGTAGATGGACAGAGTGAGGGGTGAAGCCATGTCCCCCGGTCTCGTGGCTGTCAGGGTGCAGGCCGTCTGGCTCCGGCACCTGCTCTCTGCTTCGCTTTCATACCGATGGTTCTTCATCGCTCGTACATCAGAGTAACTCGAGTTGAGACAGGGTTTCCCTCGGTACGGGATGGTGTTGGGCTCCAATATTTTCAAGGCCACTTGTGATTCTAATATGTAGGCAGGACTGGGAACGTTCTGTGCTACCGTATACTGCACCTTCATTATAATGTAGATAAATTTCATAGGTTAAAAAATACACTTCGATTGCAATCATAATAGTGAGTACTTTAGTTCTTATTTTGATTTGGACATTTTCGGGTCCTTTTTTATAGGTGGAACTTTAGGCTAATATTTTGGGGAATTTTAAAAATCAGATTTTTCTTTATGTTGGTGTCTAGGCACTCTGGCTTTTGTGTAATACGCAAGTGCGTACATTTGTGTGTGTGTGTGTGTGTGTGTGTGTGTGTGTGTGCACATGCGCTTGAGCTTATTTACATTGTTCAAAAACAAAATTCCACTGAGTGAATTTAAAGCTAAAATTGGCTTTATCAAGAAGTTCATGAATCAGGCAGCATCCCATCTAGCAAACAGAACGCTCTAAAGAGCGGTAGAAAAGGAAAGGCTTTGACAGGTAGGAAGAGAATGGGACAAGGAAGTTATTAGCAAAGTATGGATTGCCCCAAGCAAGGCGACTTTCCTCTAGGGGTCTGTAGGCAGATCACCTCACTAGTGTTGCCCAGGAAATTCCAGACTGACTGGTCAAGATCATACTCCTGGGAGAGGCTAAAACCGCAGTTAGGTCAGGCGTCGAGTCTCGGTGTGGCTTTGGTGTCGCGGGCTTAGCACAAGTGACTCCATTTCAGGCTTGTTGTCTCTTTTAACAACGTTTATTGTTTTGGCACAAAGAATTGAGTCACCCGATAAAGTAGTTTAAGGAGTATTGATTTTAAAATGTGGAATTATTTCATATACATAAAGCAAGGAATAAAATATCATGGAATGGTGTAATTGTCTAGATTCCATTAGACCCAGCAGGTTAATACCTATTGCAAAATTTATTTAATCCAGCATAGAACAAGTTTCTTAACTTTATTTATTTTCTGTCTTTCTTATTCTGTGTCATTGACATTTTAACATTTGATGATAGACTTAAAAATGTAGAAAATTTCAAAATTCTATTTAAAAATGCTTTATGAAGATTGATTTATGAGTTATAATAAATGAAATGATAGGTTTGAAAATAAAGTTTATCAAAATCTAGTTTTCTCAAAATCAGTGATATAAATTTATTTTTAAAAGTTACCACCGCATGATCTCCAGAGGTCTCTCTTGTTTTGCTCTGAATAGTTGGCTGCTTCTGATTACGTGAAATCGCCACCAGAGTGTGCTAAAGATATTTCGTTGGGAAAAGTGTTATTTACTTAGGCTTGCCTGAACTTGTCAGCCCTGGTAACTTTATTTAAAGAAAAGAATGTGATTCCTGATTATGAAATTCTTTTTGCTGTGAAATAAATTCTGTACCTTGACAGCCAAGTATTTCTACAGCTACTGTTAATGACAAGTTTTTAGTCTCTTCAGACAAGTCTTGCTTCTCAGTGAGGGGGCTGCCTGGGAGTATCTTCAGTTTGATTATTTTGTGAAGTTCTCCTTTAGAAACTGAAAGTTTCATTTTCTTTTACACAATCAGTGTTGATTTTTCTTTGCTTAATAACTATATTTCTGAAAATCCGAGCAATGTAAAATGGAGTAGAGAAACTAGTAATTTGTTTTATGAGGTGGAAAAAAAATACCTCATAATTTTTCTATTGTGCCTTCTTTTATTTTAAAATAGAACTAAATCAGTAAATGGTTTTAATGTTTGCAACTATAGCATAAAATATTATTTTCAGAGTATTATTAGTTATCTGTAATGACCATGTATTTTGTGTTACACACTTAGAGTGTGAAAGTTTGATCCCCTTATATTTGATATAATTTCTAAGTGAGTACTTTGCAAACTGATTATGTAGCAAAAGTTCTGACTGATAGCATCTTTTTTTTTTTTTTTTTT